GTCCCTGGTTCAAATCCTCCACCCTACCGCTATCTGGATTTGTTCTCGGTAGCCCCGAGTTCAACTCCTCTACCGCGTTGTGTAAATAGCGAACTGGTCGGCCTCCAACCAGTTGGGATTCTTAATAGTTTATGTTAAATTTGAAATATTAGTCTATTTATTAACAGGGTCCCCAGTTAGCACATTTAATAGTGCTAAATACAATTGACACTTAAATAAACTTGTTATTATTATTATTATTATTATTATTATTATTATTATTATTATTACAGACCGGCCGACTGTCAGGTTGAGCTCTTACATAAAATGCGGATTTTTTCTCGCATTTTGAGTGGTTCTTACGCATGGTCTTTTCGAGGACAAACGCATAGATGAAGTCATTAACATTTGTTTGTTTCTTTATTTATAGATGTGGTAAGAACATCTGTGAAACACACCATCGCCTCGTTGCCCACGTTTTGTTCGTATAACATTTTGGCGTCATCTGTGATCAATTACTGAACANCATTTGTTTGTTTCTTTATTTATAGATGTGCCAAGAACATCTGTGACACATACCATCGCCTCGTTGGCCAAGTTTGTGTTCTTACAACATTTTAACGTCATCTGTGATCAACTACTGAACACAGCACGGTAACATGGAAGGCATTTGTCAAGTCAGGGAGGGCAAACGTAGATTGGTTTCATAGTGTATTTAAGATGATAAGACAGCATAAATTCTGATTACAAGACTCAAGGGTACACATCAAACCTTGGAGTAACATCTATCTTCCGATATAAGAGCGAGAAATAAGATCATAATCAATGCGGGCAATCGATTTAATAATAATCTTGCAGTGATCGACAGCCTGTTCAAAAACAAGCTTTAATCAATGGCAATCTGATTTCTTTCTGTCACATTAAAAACGATCTGCAGTGTTCAGCATATTTTCGGGGCCATCAAATTCGCATTCTTTCAGGTCATCCGTATCGCAGTTCCTGAAAATACCATCCTCTCCCTGAGAATGTCGGGAAAAGCAGACAGCCATCTTTTTCCAAGATACGAACACTTTCCTTTCCTCTTCACAGCAAGGTTTGGGATAGTAACTTACAAACATCACATTATCTGTTCCTGGCTTTTCACATTCACCATTGAAGACTACCCTCTTTGGTGCCCTCACATAGGTTCTCACTGACTCATGATCATAATTAGTTTTCCAAGTAGCCCACGGCTCATTAATCAGCAACCCCGCAGGGCCATTTCTTGGAATCCAAATTCTTTTAATTTGGTTAATTTTCTGATAACGTATTATCAGAGAGTTTTTTTCCTGTCCATTAGCGTCTTTAACCACACACTGATAAGACCAGTCGTTTGTGTTGATGATCCTCTTTTTCAACCAATCAGTAATGTTTGCCTCATCTCTTGTGACTTGCGTCAAAATTTCATCCTCCAACTTCAACTGGAGCGCACGACCTGGTTCTGATGACGAAGCTTCCCTAAATACTTCCGCCGTCTTCGCAAATTTGTAGAGTTTTGTCATTAAAGCATTGTTCGCTTCACTATCAAGGTCACTTTTTAAGCCCTTTGTTGCAGCCAAAAGGCTGCGGTAAGTGAAGTGGGATTGCAGACCTGCATACCCGTAGTACATCAACTCTTGGGCAAACTTCTGAACGAGATGCTTTTTGCTATGACAATAAGCCAGCATGTATGGTGCTAGGAGAGAGGTTGCTTCTACCAGTTCACCAACCTCTACCCCATAAAGATCCAAGAGACGGTTATCTACGAAATCTAAAAAGCAAACAAAAATGGTCAGTACAGTAAATGGTTTGAACCCGGGTGTAACAGTCGATTGTGAAGGTTACCGAAAAGAGTGCTTTTCAGAATTACCCTCACCCGGACGATCACACTACTCAATCACACTACACGATCACACTTCACGATCACACTACACGATCACACTTCACGATCACACTACACGATCGCACTACACGATCACGCTACAAGATCACAGCTTTCGCAAAGATGAAACTGAAGCACCAGATTTTAATTGGTTACCTTAGACAAGGGAAGAACTACCCCCATACATATAACGTTCAAGAAAATTGAGTTCGCCTTGGTAAACTTTTGGTGTTAAGTTTTAGTT